CACATAGTTATACCCAACTATGTGGATATAATAATTTTGTAATTGATTTTACAAACACTATAATTACCCTACACAGTTACAGTTGTTGCAGACCTTATAAAAGGAACTAATTATTTCTGCCCATAACAAATCCTACTTAACTTTATTGTGGGAAGATTTAAAACATGAGTTTTGAACCCTTTTCACTCCACCCAGATCTTCTCTTCCCCAAGCACGGATCCCACTACACCAAATTCCTTTTCCTTTTTCATCCACTGGTGAATTTCCATATCCACATACCTATCTTATCCTTTGTCTCTCAAATTAATGAGGGAGAAAAAAATTAAGATGATAAACAGTCACACTGAGTGAAAAGGTCTATGCTGTCTTGAGTAAAATTAGTAAATAAAAACAATATATATAATGAAACAAATATATGATGACTTTTTTGCTTTCTAAATTACTCATAAGGTCAGCTTCAGAATCTACTATAAAACCTTCAAAATCCAACTTGGTTGGTAAAGGTATGAGTTTCCCCCGCTTTCCAGGACCTGTGGGTCTCCCCATCTCTTGTCAGTCTCTAGGTTCTCCTCAGGTTAAACTACTTCCACCCTGAAGAAGCCCAATCAAGAGGTTGTTCTTGAGGCCAGGATCAGCACTAGTTTGAGTACAAAATTTGAGGGGCGAGGGGATAAAGGGGGACCCATAACAGATATTCAAGATCAATACTACCTTAATGTTTTAGAAATCAAACTTAATGCAGAAATAAAGTCCAGGATCACCAAATATCAAGATTTTGAATAAGATCAGCACCATCCCATCCACACTGAGGCAAGGGTAAAAAGAAAAAGATCTCCATTCTTATAAATATATTTTTATGTATCTTCAATGGTTCTTTTTTTTTCACAATGTGAAAGTAGTTTAAAATATTGAAACATTGGAAAATTTATGTGTTTTCATTCATAAGGGAGTGAAATCATGTAAGAATTTGATCATTTCAAGGATTTGGTCATTTCCTTGAAATTCGCCATGATAAAAAGGCCCAGAGCTCGGGGCCAAACATTTAACAAAGTCTAGGAACAGGGCTTGGTTTCTCGGAGACAACATTCTACACCTCTGCCCCTCTACCACTCAGTTCACAAGTGTTCATTGAACACCTACTACACGCTACCATAGTGTATGAGGTAGACAAGCACCTGATGTCCTGGGACTCACCTTTTTGCAGGCCCCCCACCTTTTAATTTTTGCTTGCTTGCTTGTTTTGAATAAATGTTGATTTCTTACCAACCTTCTTTTCAAGTTGCTATAAATCTACTTCCCACTCATCTCTTCTGTTCTTTGGGTTTCTGATCTGTGCTGCTTGCTCCAACTCTTGGATTGCTCTGTGCATCCGGTGATGGTTTATTTTCACATGGGTCTTTCCTCTCATGCTACCTTTGTTTTTACCCATTTCTTGCTTTGATGAGATGTCCACCAAATGTTTTGGAATCACTGACCTGTTGAATGAAAGAATTGGTGGAAGAATCAACAAATGAATGAATGTACCAGCTCCCTGGAGAGGTGGAAGGAGGGAGGGAGTTGGCACCACCATGCTGTTATTGGTACAGCCAATACATGGCTGTGTGATTGTGTATGGCCAATAGTTGAGGTGCCTTCACAAGTGAGAGAGGAACCATAGGATAAACCCTTCCCAGGTGTGGTGTTTCAGAAAGGACTGGAGCCTGGGGGATCTGAGGAGTGTTGGGCAATCCACTGTTCTTCATTGATGGGGTCTCAGTTTCCTCTTCTGTACAGTGAGGAAGCTGAATTGTGAAAGGACTTTGCAACTCTAGACTAGGTTGAATTCACTGCACCTAATGCTGTGATACCAGTCAGCTTAGGTGCCAGTGACCACTCCTTTGAATTCTTTTGTGTTTGGGGTTTTCTTGGAAAAGGAATGCCTCCAACTCTGCCATATGAACATGAGTCAGGAGAAGGGGACCCTTGTGGCATTTCTTCTGGATAAGGATTCCAGGATATAGTTGTGTGATTCTAAGATGTTCCTCTGGTCTTCAGTTATTTTGATATTAAAATAAAGAAATCTCAAATAATCACCTTGGGTTTCTTTGAGGACATGTTTTACGTGTTCTACTTTGAGAATGTTGGTGCTCATTTAACCCATGAAAGGGACAGCGAATCAAGTTCCCGCTTCTTTATTCTAAACAGTGGCTAACATTGGTGGAGTGTTCACAGTTTACAATTTGCAATTTGCAATTTACAATTTGCAATTCTATTTACTCCTCAGGACACTCCGTGGGATGGGCATTTCTTATTATAATTCCCTTTTTATATGTGAGAGAAGTGAGTTGAACCTGAGACAGCCACCTTAGGATGCAGAACTTCTTTTGAGGAGGGAGAGGCATCTGGCACAGCCTGTGTCATTTTGTCTCAGAAATTAGGAAAAAGCTTTCTGCTTTGGAGGATAGGGTAGAAAAAAAAAATCAGTGGTTCCCCCAAACCTGGCCTCACTAGAATTTCTAGGGAGTGATTGAAATTTTGGTTTTGAAAAAAATTGAGAATTTAAAACTTTTTTCTATTACAAATATTTCTCATAAGAAATTTTAATAATCATCTGTTCAGTGATATTATGTGTTTGTTTATATGTCTCCAGAGGACAAGAGAGAGTCGTGACAGTATATTTGTTTCTCGCAATTAGTTGTGCGTGCGTGTGTGTGTGTGTGTGTGTGTGTGCAGTTGCCTAGAAATGTCTCAAAAGCTTTTTAGTAAAAATCAAAAGTCTAGAAAACCAAGTGTACACCCATATCTTTCATCATAGGACTTCCCTCCACACAGAAGTTTCCAATAGTTCTTCATTACTTCCAGAAGGAGTATTAATTCCGCAGTCTAACTTGATTACAAATTGTCTGTTTGATCTCAACTGCTCTGGGTTTTCAATGTTAAGCTGTAAAATGAGGTGTTTTGACTAAGTTGTCTTTAAAATAATTATTGGCTCTTAAATTTATAAGTGTTATAAATATGACTACCATGGCATTCAGAGAAATAAACAAAATCTTCCTGTGGGAGGCTCCCCCAGAGGACAGGAGTGAGGCAAGCTCAGGGAAACAGCACCATTTCTGAGTGTTCCTGGCCCAGCTGAATATGGTGGGGGTGGTCAACATGCAACACAGACACCTCTGATGAGGAAGCCTTCTACCAACTTGAACCCTTAAACTCATTTCTCAAAATATCATAATTAAGAAGAATATAGTGAAAAGAAGGGTAGCAATCAACCATTGGACACGAAACACCCAAATGATAATATGATGTTAAACTGTCCCTAGTCTCTCACATTTAAATCTCAGGATTTTTGTTTGATTTAATGTTAAAGGTCTATTTCAATTTTTGAGTGAATTAATTAGTTTCTCTTCCTTTTCTTCCTTTCCTTCCTTCTCCCTCCTTTCCTTCCTTCCTTCCCTGTATTCTTTCTAATTCCATTGGTATCTCTAAAGGAGCACAAATGTCTCTCATTTAATCTATCCCATCGTATTCATGGAAAGGAACAAATCAGAGCAATGATTGTGTGTTGTGAAATGGATAATAAAGTGGTGATAGATGACTGTTATTGTGGTTGTTATGATATTGTCAAACCAAATTCACATACAATGTGTCCATTCAGAAATCCAGCAACACACAAAAACTATTTTTTTCCCCTTTTTTTAAAAGCTTTGTTTTAAAAAGACACCTTCCTGTCACTGGTACTTATAAGTGAATAAAATGAAATTGATGCCTTGCAGGGGGAAAAAAGGAAAATACTTCTTTACTTTGTATTAAGAATACGTGACATCTTTGCTGTCAGCGATAGTGAAGTGAAATACATACCAAATATGTCTTGACATAACTTGACAGAAATGTATGTCTTCTTTTCTCTCATTTATTTTTGTGATAAGAATATGTGATTTTGCTGCCAAGGAAGCTTGTAATGTTGTAGAGAAATGGAAATGAAATTGTGTTGGGGATGTCCAATTTCCCCTGACAGAGCGCCATGAGCCGTAGCACACAGGCAGCCTTGGGAAGTTAACAACAGGCCTCAGCCAGCAAGACCCAGGCGTTGACATTTGTCAAAACAACTTTCCTCCACACATCAAAATGCTCTTTTCTCTTTTGTGTTATTCAGATGTGTTCGGGTAAGTACGTTTTAGCAAACGGTGACTGTCAGAGAATCACTGCCATCCACGTGTGAACGATACCCCGAGAAAAAGCTTCTTTCCTACTGGAGTACAGGCCTATTCCGTTTGGGCTGCTATTAATCTGCAAGGGTCCCTTAAAACATATTACCAAAGCTGATGTAACTAGATGTATTCTCTTTGCATTTTGTGAGTTTTTTCTCCCTTAGACAAAAGGAATTGCACCATTCATTTCTTCTTTCTTTCTTTCAAAGCTTCATATATATATATATATATATATATATATATATATGGATGATGTTTGTTGGTGTGAGTTTGGTCTATGCTTGAGTTCATTGCTTTTTATAATCATTATCTTGCTCAGAAGAATTCAAATCATTTGGGTGCCACTGGCCCTTAAGAAAGCACTCTATTCTTAATTTCTTACTTCATTGCTATAGAGCAATGGATGTGAGATAAAGTGGCTATTAAGTGCAACTAAATGGCATTTTCTGTGAACTTCCAATTCTGTCTTTTTTTGGGACTCTTTTTAAGGACACACACACAATTTCTAGAACCCTAGCAACAATTTCTACAATAAATGGTGTTTGAAGCAAGAATCCCTTACCTAGGGCAGACAGAAAGAGAATCAGCCCAGCAGTGTAATCATTGCTCTGCTGTTTGAAGGAATATTGAGCTCAGATGCCTCCAGAAAGCCCACCAGGCCCAGAGGCACTGGACAATGAAAGGGGAAAAATAATAGACGCCATGCTTTATTAAGTATATTTTTTCTCACTTAGGTGCCCATTCCCTGGTCAGACAATTAGTTGAGGCTCTTTCCAGAGAAAGTGTTACCCACCAAGAAAAACTCTTTTAACCTTTCAAAATAACAAATATCTTTAATGACTTTTATCCTCTTTCCATTGACATCACAGATACAATGTGGCCTGTCTTGAAGTCAAGCCCAAATTGAAATCACTGCTGGCAGGGACAGGAAAAATAGAACATTTGACAATAAGAGTGACAGATGAAGCATTGGGGACCTTGAAAGGAAGAATCACTCAAGCTATGACCTGGGACAGAAATACTGTACCTTAGTAAAATACCTGCCCCCATCTGTAAGTTAATAGGCAGGTACATTTGCACATGATAATGGGCTAAATCCAACATTTGATAGAAGTTGGTATTATTTTCCATGTACATGTTTAAATGAAAAGCCAGACATGCTTTCTAGCAAGAACCTTTTCATTACAGAACAACTGTTCATCATCACACTCCCTGGGGAAAACATTCTTATTTGGTTGTATGTAGGGATAACATTGATTAGAAATATTTCTGAACATGAGACTTCCTACATTTGCCCCATCCTGCAACCAAAGATTATTCAGCACTTAACTTATAAAGGTGTGTATGTATGCATATACATATGTGTGTGTTTATGCATCTGTCAGTATATGTTCCACAGATAAAGTCAACTTCTTACAATATTCTTCAACCAATTTGCAGGAGAGAGAAACATTACATTTCGGGACTTTAAATCCATTAGCTGCATCCCAACTTCTATTTTAATATTATTTTTCATTATGCTTCATTTCTAAGTGATCACTTGAATTAGGTGGAAAAACTCAGTGGGATCTATCAATTTTCAGTGATTTCTGTCATTGATTCCCAATTGCCTTTGATCCCTTACATTCCCTAAAACATGATTGGTTTAAGCCTATTCCCTCTGTTGGTTTGGTGATGGGTACTAAGGTCATTTTGGCATCCGTCACTGCAGTGAAAAATTTCCCCACATGATGGCCATTGTAGGTCCTTTGTAGAGGGTATATTTTACTTCTAGAGCTGAAAAAAAAAAAAAGAACTTAATTTCAATAATCAGTTGTCTGACCTAAGTTTCCCAAGAACTTCTCAGCCTCGACTACTTAGAGGCACTGCTTTCTATTCAAACAATATGAAACGTTTTAGGTCATATGAATGATTAAGTTTTGCATCATCGAAAACTTACCATGTAAGCTTACATTTCCGCTGATGTTTGTAACTCATTGGTTGAGAAGCAAATGTGGGTTTCCTCTCTCTGGATAATAATGGTAGAAAGCAATATTGTTTATTTTGCCTCTGACAAAAATTTAAGTCAAATATGGATGATTCAAATTGACACAAGGAAAGTCTAGTTGCTTCCCTGGATACATCCGCATCTTAACCCACAAAAGTTTAGGGGCTTTACAAAGCCTGAAACAGATTTTAGCATGCCCCCTTTCCCTTCTTTTATGAACCAATTTAATTTTAAAGAAAAATCTAATCCATATGTTTCTGATTAATCTTTACTAAACTCATCAAAATGGTGTTTTGTAAGAGTGACTTGGTGTCCAAGAAGTCTTCTGAATTTCTCCGTAACAGACCTTCTTAATGCCATTTCTCTTTGAAGCAGCAACTTGTGTTTTGCCAACACTAAAGAAATCCAAACCCCCAAAGGGTTGAGATCAGTTTGAAACTTCAGGCCCGAGGGCTCTGTGGGCCTTCTTGCTTGGCAAACAGGCTTCTCCCTCTGACTTATAATACCTTATTTTTCTTCCCACAAGAACTACTCCACTTATTGTTTTGCTAAAATATGTGTTTAAAACTATCTTCAGATTTTTTTTGGTAAAGAAAACTTGTGGTCCACAAAACTAAAAGGAGGGCTTAATGGGTAATTTGCTCTTATGCAATTTCATTTGACTGTCCATTTGGATTTTTCTTTAATTACTCTGTTTTCTGACTCTATACATCTCTGTAACTTGGGTTTACCCAAAGATTTACCAGAAAAGGTGACCATAAAGATCCTACAAGCTGGAAATAAGTGTTGAACGACCCTTAGCCTCCCTCCCTCAGCTTCTCCGGTAAAGACTTATTTCTTGAGATACTAAGGTAACACCTCACACGATATTTTATGTTCTTATTTTTGTTGACAACCCAAAAATTCGAGGCAGAAGATTTCAAATAATATGCTTTATGTCACAAGGTGAACCATAATTCCCAGTCCTAGATGTTTGCTGGGTTTTTTAGTGTAGTTCATTTGTATTCATGTGTTTAAAGAAAAACCTAAATAATTTCACTTTTTTTTTTTTTAATGCAACAGTGAGAAAGAGGAGGAGAAAGAGGGAGAAAGAGAAAACAAAACAGTATGTACAGCAAGTTAAGAATCCAGACCACTCAGGTCCTTTGTTCTTACTGTCTCCTGGCCATGAAGTGGGAGTGCCCTCTAGTGAAACTTTAAAATCATTGGAAGATACTGGGTGTAGCATGGTTGAGGTCTCCTCTTAAACTTTTGTTTCAGAAATCTGTGAACATGAACAATTCGAGCATGTTTTGAATGAGACTTAAAGAAAAAAAAAAAAAAGATGCAAAGTACCGTCATGTGAAATTATTTCTTTCGGAAGCAAACAGAAATGAATATATTGTTGTCAATACCCAAAGGTATATCTTTCTCTCTCTATTTGTCATCTATCTATCTACCTATCTATCAAGCCATCCCAAGGATACATAAGTGGTATGTAACTCACACTAGGGCTATGGTTATCTAAATGAAAACTTATATAAAAACATAATTACCTACCTCTCAAGAAGATGGATAGTAAACAAACCACTTTGCAATGTGAAAGGGAAAAAGTAGTATACACAAGTAAATAAGAACTGAATTACACACTTTTTTTTTCCCCATCTATCTTATTCCAGATCTCTTTGTAGAAAGCAGCTCATGTTCATTGTGATAAAATCTGCTGTGTTCTGGAAAAGTACAATTACCAGGAGCCAGAGTTCTTGGCCTAGACTCACCAGCTGTGCAAGCTTGGGCACAGCAGTCAACCTCTCTGAGCCTCAGGGTCGTGGTCAGCAATATGGGATTTAAGAATCCCAGCCAGGTTACCTCGTAGGGTAGAGTTAGAGGACATAAATCAAAGGAAAAGGCTTTGAAATATTACCTGCATCGAGTACTATACTGTGCAGGTATTATTTTTCAGACTCTTCTATCTTCTTACTGGGGAGATTTCAAGCTAAGTCTCTTTTCAGGAAGAAGAGAGAAAGAAAGAAGACCCTACTAAAGTCCTCTGGAGTTAGGAATGGATGATGAAACTGCTTTTTTTTTTTTCCTTCCATTTGCAAAGGGTCACAGAGAAAGAAACAGGTGGTGCCCGAGGAAAGACGCAGGGTTAGACTTGACCCCAGCGGAGAGGCTCTCCTGTCTCCTGGGCGTGGAGAGGGCCCTGGGCCAGCAAGGCGGCCGGCTGGCTGGGCAGCAGCTGGCGGAGGAGTCAGCGTGTCTTCTTGCGTTTACAGCAGCAAGAGTTTCCGCGAGGCTAATCTCCACCTTACACTCAGAGAGAAGCCAAGGAACGGCTGGGCTCGGTGCGCAGGGCCTCTGTGCTTCTCGTCCCACCTCTTGATTACCATCCACACCAAACGGTTCCCACTTTCTGTTGTCTTTTTAAAAACTGGAAAACATTTAGCTCTGTTTATGTCAGCAGTAATAAACTCGTCATTGGAAAGAGTTTTCCCTTTTAGCAGCAGTTAGTTTAATTTTAGATTCGCACTGTTAAAATTCTTTACTTTCCTCCATAGAAAGCCTGTTTTTAGTGGAGCATGGTTTCTCACTAGTTAAGTTTGCATTGAAGAGGGCTTTATGCGTTTATTTTCAAAATCAAAACTTGCATAGGTACTTTAAACTTATATAGTTCAATTCCAGATCCTTCAGAAAAGAAAAAAAAATTTAAAAATTAAATTAAAAACAACACAGGTACCTTCTATGTCCTTATTGCCTAAATTTTCACATTTATCTCCTGGGTGTATATGTCTTCCCTCTTTTGTCCAGAGTGAGAAACTGTTGTTATTTTCTTTACTCAGAGGTACTTCACATTGTCAGACGTGCATAATCAATCTTGTACTTCAACCTTTGTGAGGAAACACAACAGATGGATAATGGGAACATGGTTGCCATTTGGGCTCTGGTCGATTCATGAACTCCACAACCACCTCTCTGGTGGTGCTAACAGTGGAAAACCATAAAGTTAATCTCTGAGGCTCTCTGACGGGTTCCATGCCTGCTGTTTATGTCTTCCCTCCCCACTTGATCTGAACAGTTGGCCTGGGACATGGGGGAGGGTGGAGGACACTCAATGGGTCTTCCACTGTGCAGGGGTTTATCTGGAATACATTAGCTGTTCCAGGGGAATGACTGAGGCGTCCATGTCATCAAACTGCTCTTGGCTACACCCAGAGTTCACTTTGTCTACACTAGGTAGTCGTGTATCGGTGGAACACCACCACCGCTCATTGAAACTTTGGGTTCCTTCTGTATTAGAACCCTCTCTGACCTTTACTGAACACCACAAAGAAACCAAATGCTAACCTCTGTTTGTCTCAAATTTTCCCCTATTAATGCTTGGTCCAAGTCTACATTTCTAGTCAGTCTTTCATTTAAAAACACAATCTCATTCAAAACCTGCCTGGTAACTTTATCACTGGGGTAACTGTTACCTATGATGCAGGGCTGACCTGGGTCCTTGTAGCACTTGACATCATCTTTTGGACGGGTTACAGAGCCTTTTGAGGGAGTTGTTAGAAGCAGGCTCACCCTGCAATGCAGAACCGGTCACAGAAGAAAATTAGTGCATTTATCTGTCAGCATTAGACTAGATTTTCAATCCAGTTCACTAGTCACAGGGTCTGGTTTTCTCTTCCTCTGGGAGATGAAACCGATATGCTGGTAGGTAGTAAAGGTGTCAGTTATAAATTGGACCGTTGGAGCGCACACACACGAAAAATAGACGGGGGAGACTTGAAGGCCATAAATTTAGTTCAAGGCAAAGAATTTCCCTAAAAATAGTCCGGCTTGTTAAAACACTATAGGAAGAATGTATGTCAGGTAACCGTTTGTGATATCAGAACCAGTTCACATTTCTTTTATGGGAACCAGTGTTCGCAATTCTCTCTCCAATGTGCTGTTCATTTTAACTGCTTCAGGGCAAAAAAGGATCTTGCTGACTCTGGTGCTGGGTATGTAAATACCGTGACAGGCTCCGTCTTCACTGTTCCACACAGGAGCGAGGTGGCAGCAGATCTGAGTTGCAAACGGAAGGGGCAAGTTTGGCAGCCACCCTCAAGCTTCTGACAATTTTCCACTCGTTGTTTACCTACCATTTAACTGGAGGGAACTTCAATACTAACTTAAAAGGAGCATGTGGCCTTTTCTCAACTCAGTGAGTGACCCTGTCCTAAATTGGTTGTTTCCTGTTCCTCATCCTATAAAATGATCCAGGTGGAAACCCTGAAGACCCACCTACCATTAATGACCCATTACCTAGACACAGCACAAACTAGGGGAGAAGTCAAAATGTTCAGCATCGGGTGACTCCCAGGATTCCTACCAACAGGGCCCATGTGGCACTCAGTTCAATAAATATTGAATGTCTGTTGGCCCTAAGGCAATGTAGTGAACTCTGTGGGTTTATAGATTCAATCCCTTGATTGAGAGAGTTAGTAATATAGATGGAGAGATGATATTCAACCACGCACCATAGAATAAACCAGAGTCAAGCAAGAATTCAATGGGAGCAAGCATCAATTGTATACATAGGAAGGAATCAATAAAACACCACGACAATACTTTAATTCATTTATTATTTAAGCCTCTGTATATATCACCTACTATATATCAGGTACATAGGAGATTTTTTAAAATCCTGCCTTCATGGAGCTATCTACTCTCTAGCATGACAGAAATAAATAACTATAATTCATCCTTAAATCTGACCTCTTGTTTTCTTCTTATATCATGCCTTCTCGCAGAATGACCTCATCTTTTTCATCTGTGTCCCCACAGGAGCACCTGGCACAGAGCAGAGGCTCAATACATGGCTTTTAAAGGAAGGAAGGAATATTGAAGTATGATGTGTGTCATAGTTTTCCAAAGGCTTTGTTTTTCCTGAATGATGGGACAGAACGTTGGAAATGGAGAGGTGGAAAATGACTTAGGTTTTTCATTGGGTGCGTGGGGGATAGAGATGCTATAGGCAGAGACAGAGAACAGAGGAGAACAAGATGAAGATG